CCAGCAACCTCGATCGAACGGTCCAAGGGAAGCAGACTCGACACGAGCATCGAGCGAAGCGTCCTATAGCCACCTAAAGTCCCCACACAAAACAAAGAGGGCTTTCCCTCTGCTTCTGTTGTAAACATTTGATTTGTTAGTTTGTAATAAGCCTTCTTATTAATACAAACAAACACTCCCTGTTTTCGGGAAATCAAATATTCACCCTACAGAAGATGGCGACCACAGTGGGAGAAGCTGTTCATTCAGATGAATTGGTGGTGGCGCAGTCCGACGAAGTTGCTGCAGGGACTACGGTTGAGTCCCTTGTGATCAAATTCGAGGGGTACTTACAATCCCTCGGGTGGCAACGCGTCCCGCAAGCGCCACAGAGCTGTGCGCCGAGGCCGACCTCAGACGGTCAAAGCCTCCGCACCCGAGGGTTCCAACCGAGTCTCATCGGAGGAGCCCACTCCCTCGCGATCGATCAAGGCCAAGCCAGAGATCGAGCGCAAGAGGCAAGGGTCTGCCAGATGGATCGCCAAGCGGTCCACGCAGACGCCTGCCTCGGAGGAAGCGCCGGTTCACTCCGGCACAAACCGCAATGTCTCAACCCACGGTGACGTTCTCCCCGCTGGGAGAACTAACCAACAGCAACGGCAAACACCCGTCAGACAGGGGGTCCAAACCTCCATTTCTCATAATGGCCTGAACCATCATACAGGCCCGAGAAACGCTAGACGGGAAGGCAAACTGCCCGACGTCGGAAGGCCCTCCAAATCAGGAGCGCCAACCGAGGACGGTAGAGCCATCCGCTCAGGAGGACTTCGCTTCTTAGGTCATATCCCTGATGCGAATAAAACACACCGAGCGTACGAGCCTACCCAAGTAGGCGAATCCTCGAAGGCTGGCGAGCCTCGCCATAATCATTTGGCGGATAAACGTAAAGGTAGAGGTTTTGGGTGTTTTTGGCTGAGCTTTGAGTGGGTATATATACCCCATTGCTGATGTCTTTTCAAGTTAACTAAGAGAGTTTTTAATCAAGTTTAATAAAGTTTTTAACAAGGGTTTTAGTTTGGTTTAAGTGTGTTTAAAAAGCTTTTAAGCAAATTGAGAGTTTGTTTTTGTGATTCAATTCTACAAGAGCTTGAGGAGATCATCTATTGGTGTTTGGGCATTCAACTATTCTCCCTCCAACTCTTGATATATTGAGAAGTTTTCTAAACTCTATTTCTAGCTTTTTTATATATTTGATTATCATTGTTATTAAGCTAGAACTACATTGAGTTTAGTTTTGATTTATATCTCTTTGTTCACACACAACCTTTTGAGCTTATTGTATTTACATTCATAGTATAATTTAGGGTTGTGGGTTTGTGACATTGAGAGTGAGCTTAATTGAGTTCTCACCTTGTTTTGAGAACAATCATTTGTCATATTTGTGCTTATTGTGAGAATCACTTTGTAATACACTTGTACACCGAGTGAGGAGTGTGTGGTGAGAGTCGGGGATCGTCCCAAGAGGAGTGGCGTCGGTTGACGTGCCTAGGGAGAGGTTGTAACCGAGCACTTGAGGGAGACACGGCTAGGTCCAACACTTAGTGGGTGTAGAGTGTGATTGCAAGAGTGTGAGTTGTAGAGTTTTCGGTTAGCTAGAAAACCGAGTGTGTAGAAGAAGTTCCGGCTTCCAAACCGGATTGTGTTAGTGGATTTCTCCCCGGGAGTGGGGAGCGGAGACGTAGGACGGAAGGTCCGAACTCCGTGATCATATTGCTTGTTTGAGTGTGCTTTGGCGTTCTTTCATATTTATGTTCATATCTTATATCGCCATTGTCATTAGCTCATTATCTATATCATCCACTATCTTGTTTACATTGTTTACCCTTGTGTTTATATATCCTTGCATATATAGTTCATCATATAGGATATATTTTATTATTCATATTGCTTATCCTAGCTCATATATCTTGTTGTATTTCATACTTGCTAGGATAACTTGTTAATTAGTTTTAATTGGCATTTAATCGGATTAGATTAGCATAAGACCCTAATCACCCCCCCTCTAGGGTCTAACAGTTATATTCCGACAATGCTGTTTTAATGAGTCGCGCACAGGAACAATGAGAGTTTATTTCTCGAATAATTCTCTTTCGAAATTTATTCAACCCCACAACTTGATAGTATGATTCATCGATATGATTGTCGGAAAATCCTATCGTCTGTTGGTATGACCTCCCAGGCATAACGATGTCTTTTGGCGAACACGTCTCCTTCTGGGGGTGTAAAACCTTGTTGGCATTCTCAGGACAAATTATTGTTGCCTTTGAGCGATCCAAGGTTATGTCAGGAGTCACGTTTAGAACCACCCCCTTGCGGGTGCGGAGTCTTAACGGGCTCCGAATGCTGATTTTGCACAACTCCAGACTTTGGAATCCAAACTTTGTAGAGTTTTGGTGGTTCTTTGGCCACCATTTCCTTCTTCCTTTCTCGTCTTTGTAGTAAGAGAGCATGGGCATGAGCTGCGTTTGTACGACGTTTTCGTATACGTTCTTTGAGGGTCGAGCGAGCCTTTTTAACAAGAGTCCATTCATCCGACGTAAGTTTTGCTGAGATGTGAGTGATTTGACGTTGAGGCGACTGAACCACTTGTTGTTTCCTCGATTTTAAGTCCGTATAGTAACGAACTCCATCTGTTTGTTCCAATGCCTTAGCCAATTGACGAGCGCGGCGTTGGCGTCGCCTCTGACAAGCCCTCTTCGTCAGAGTTGGCGAAGGCCTTAGCCAATTGACGAGCGCGGCGTTGGCGTCGCCTCTGACAAGCCCTCTTCGTCAGAGTTGGCGAACTTCGATCGAACGACTCCTTAATTAGGGTGGAATCATTATGAGCAGAGCTTCCGGCTTTGGGGGTCGCCGGGATAATGTTGCGAGGCAAGGTCTCAACAACAATTGGGCGATAGTATTTACTTTTAGCCTTCTTTGGCGTATAAGCCTTCTTCAATGATGAGATCCTCTTGCACTTGCGAAATAATAAAGATCTTGAAGAGGATGATGAGAGATATTCCTCAAACTTGGTTTGGTCAAACTCGTATTCGACCGTGGATTCAACTGGAATCTTGATCGGATGCGACACGACGGTCTCGACAGCGAGACCGTTGGCTCCCACTGTGGTCTCCAGTTTGTTTGCATCAAAAGTTGGTCTCGTTGTGGAATTCATTATATCTTCGGTCGATTACAATAAATTCAAAAAAATAGCCTTTTTATAAGACTTCTCTTACACAACAAAAGGAAAATTATAACTTTTTAGAAACAAACGCAGGATCGTTGTTTGGATCGCTGCTTGCGTGGATCTTTGCCTGTGCCGGGGGTGCGTTAGCCCGTGGACTACCGATTCACAGATTCTGGTTGAATCGTGAAGGTTTTGGGGATTCTTCCTTCGTTTATCGAAGTAAGAATTTAAAGCGAATATCTTATCGATGTAAGATGTTCACTCTTCTAAAGATCAAGTCAGAGCTTAGATCTCTAGGAATCACCAAATGATGCTTGTCAAAGGGTGAAAGTTCTTTCTTTCTTCCTCAAAATCACCAAAGGCTCAAGTCTCTTTTGCTCCAAAATGCTCTGTCCTTTATTTCGTGTTTAGGGAGGTATTTATAGGGGTAGGAGTGCACAACAGTTGAAATGAGGGCGAAGTAACTGACCAAACAACTGTTCTTTGGCCGCGGTAGTCGACATTGGCGCGGCCATTGGCGCGGTAGTGTGGACTGTCGCGGCCAAAGAAGCGGTTACCAGCACGTTCAATCGTGCTTGAAACTGTTCTCCCACGACTTTTAACCACCTTTTTCGTGGTTTAACTACTTGTCCACGTCAGCACACGTTCTATCTCTGATATGCCGCCACGTGGACTTCAAAAAATCATCGTATAACTGCCTTGTAACTGCCGCAACACTCCCCTATAATAGCCGCGTCACCATAGGTTGCCGCGCCGTAGCCGCGACACCATAGGCTGCCGCGCCTTAGCCGCGACACCATGGGTTGTCGCGCCTTGGCCGCGGCACCATGTCCTGCCGCGCCTCAGTCGCGCCGCCATGTACTGCCTGATGGTGTGTGCATTGTTATTCCATGTTGTCTCGCTTCTTTTAAATGATCCCCTCTGATTAAGAGAATGTCGTTTATTGTCTTCTCTTTGTCTTGAGTGGTATTTGGATGTCTGTAAGCATTTTTTGACGCCTACAAATGATATCAATTGAAAATGAATTACTTGGAGAAACTTGAGTATGATGACTTAATTGAAGAATTCGCTTCAAAAAATTCAAGGAGAAGTATTTTTCTTTGAATTAAATTGTAACACAAATGTAATCTCTTCTTATATGAATATTGATTTTGCCTGAGAATATTATAAGTTTGAGTCCAATATAGAACGCTAAATTGTATTATATATATTCATTTTTATCGTTATTGTACATACCAAATTTTTAATATAAGGGGCAACCAAAATTGGATTGGGCGACAACCCAAAGCTCGGGGCCGATCCTGACTTAATACCTGCATTTTTCATTGCTAATTTGCCTTAGATTATAATATTTTAATTTCTTTGGTATTTGAAGAACAAAGTATGAAATTTATAAATACTTACTAATTTTTCTTATATCTTCCATAAAGAATTCTTCTTTGGTTGGAATAAAATTATTAAATATTTCTTCAGTGTAACTCAGTTGATGCTTCTTTAATAGATATGCCTTATGTTAATACTGATTCAAATAATTTAGGGACTTATTATTTCCGTCACTTTCCCATTTACAACGAAAATATCTTGATTCTTTTGAAGGATATCTCCGTACCATGCCTACTCGGCTAGAAAATTTTGTGGCTAGAGAATATATAGTTTGCCCAACATATAAGTGTCGTGGCCCATTAACAATGTTCAATATTGCAAAGATGTGGCCCATTAGGCAAAATATTTTTGCTACTATTGGACGGTCCAGATTAATCAATCTATCTGCCCTCTTGATATAAACCCCAAACCTCACAAACCCAAATTTCCCTGAGCACAAAACTTCAGGCCGTGGTTTTTTCTGTTTTCTTCTCTCGCTCGCTCATCTCGCCGCTTTGATCTCTTCGTTAGATCCAAGATGAGGGTAATAACACTAAACCTAGATCTAAAGATAATTTCTTTTTGTGTTGTAGAATCGAAATCTTCTCACGCTGTTAGATTTGACGATTCTATTCTAAATCTAAGTTTTAATGACAATTTTTTTGTGGTTTTTTTTAGTTCAATATCACCAATCCCACCACTGGGGTGCCAGAAAAAGCTCGAGATTGACGACGACCAGAAGCTGTAAGTTTTTTCATTTACAAGTTATGATCTTTTGAGTTCCTTTATTAGTTTCATTGCGCCTTTGTTGCATTATTTGTTCCTGTTTAATATTTCATAGGTTGCCAAAGATGGTGTATTTATTTTATTTGTTACTTGGTTAATTACGGTTTCTAGTACTTAGTCTAAACCCTTTTAGTGTTTAATACCTATGATCTTGTCATTGTACAGCATCATATGTGAACTTTGAGCTAATTATTAGCCACAGTTGTTAAGGTTGGAGCTCAACACGTATAAGGCTTCTCTTATCCCATAAAGTCATCAAGTACCTTTGCCAAATAGGATATTCATGAAATAGTTCCCCAAAACTCATATAAATAAATCCCTGCATCACTTAAGTTGTCTCAAATAAGCCCCAAAAGCCATAACTGTCATTTGTCTGCAGTTTTATTCTTACTGGGATAGCTTGTTATGGCAACAACCTTTTATCTTCTTTGAGATTCACCATAAAAACTACTTTTTCTTTGCTTACAGAACATAAACTCATGCATGACTGTTGTTTTAAGAAGCATGCTTATTATAGAATGCTAATGCTAGCAAGTAGTTAATGAGCATTTTCACATCTATTATATCATTTCTATGCGAGTAAGCTTCATTGTTTAGTAGCTAGCGTTCACTGTCAGTTCAGTTGTTTCATTACTAATAACTTCAAATAAAAGAATGTTCAGTCCTTGTCTGTTTCTGTGCGCGACATGTAGTGCTTTTGATGTTGTTTTGTTACCCTTATGATTTTAATAACTGTTCATTCTTTGATCTTAGTTCTTTAGGTAATTGATCTGGGAATCTTATTCTATGACATTATTAGTTCGTTATGTCTACTGTTCTACAGTTCTGAATACTTGTGAGACATCATGCACTAATCAGCAGTATGTTATTTGGCGAACATATCTTCCACTATTTCTCCCCAATTTGTTTGTGAGACATTGCAATTTAATTCTCAGTATAGGCACTATGCAATTTGATTCTTATTGTATGTAAATTACCATATAAGCCATCATCCACCCTATCTCCTCTGTTGGTTGATGTGTGTCCATGTTACTTGCTGTCTGTAAAAGTGCATGTCTGCGCATTGTATATTTTATTTTTTGATCCATCTCCTGACTGTTCTTCCTTTATACAGCTCAATAAAACAAAAACAAAACATTTCCCTCAATTGGAAACCTAGGTTCTGAGTTCTGAGTAGCAGCCATCTCCTCCTCCTCCTTCCCTCTCTCTCTATCTCTCTCGCGAAAAGAGGAAGGAGATGAAGGCGGTGACCGGTACAGTGACCTCGTCGAAACCGATCTCTCTATCTAAAGCGTCGACGGCCCTCTCCCGCTTTGCCGCCGGTGACAACGGAGCTCGCCGTGAGATCTCCGCCTACTTGAAGCGCGTGTCCAACGCTTTCCAAGATCTCGTTCAAGTGCACCGAGAGCTGAGGTTCATAAGGAAGGGAGCAGGCGTCGAGATCAAGCGAGAGGTCGAAGATGAAGACGAATCGAGTAGGAGGAGGAGGAGGAAGGAGGAACATCAGGATCCAAACCCTAGGGTGAGTTTGCAAGCTAATGCTAAGGTCAAAGTAGAAGTTGTTGACGAGGTGGTTGAGGATGAGGCGGAGGAGAGGAGAAAGAAGAAGAATAAAGAAAAGAGGAGGGAAAAAGAAGTGGTGGAGAATGGAGAAGGGAAGAAGAGGAAGCATTCGAGTGTTGAAGAAGCAAAGGGGTCAACGGAGGATGTAAGCGAGAGGCGAGAAAAGAAGAAAAAGAGGAGGAAAACTGCTAATGAGGAGTAGGAACTTATAGTGATAAAAGTTTTTTTGTGCTCACTGGTTATCGATTTGTGGAGAAGTTTTGGAAGTTTTCTTCTCAATTTTGACTCTCGGGGAAGGAGTTTGTGATTTAATTCAACATGTATTTTAGCAATTGATAGATAGTTGCATGCCTATCTAAACGTGACATGTTTTGTTTTGAAATATATGTTAAATTATCAGAAAGATTATTTTTGTGGCTCATTTGATTCATATACCTGCAGAAGTCTAGTCAAGGTTTTTATATCACAACATTGCATTTTTTTTTAATATCACAGTATTGCATTATTTTCCCTGGTTAATGGATAATTGGACTGTTGGAGAACAGAGCATTGCAGCCAGTGGCTAACTCTCAATGTGAGAATTATCTTTGATCATGAATGTAATTGTTTTACTTCCGATGCCCATAGTTAAACTTTAAAAAGAACCATGTCTCTGTTTCTCTCTGTTTACCTACTAAGCAAGACTCCAATGAAAGATAGTTCGCAATGCATTCTGTTTTCTCTATACTATATCTTGAATGACATGCAGTCTCGTTTAGATCTAACAAGTCCTGGGTATAAAGAAAACATGTCATTCAAGTGCCTGTCTTTCAAGCCCATCCATCTCCTGAGCATACAGAAAACAACGCGAGCAAACTCTAAATTTGTTCGACTGTCACGGATGGACGCTCGTGTTGTGGCCAAGTGTGTTAGAGAGTCGGATTGTTTATTTTCTTTTTGGAGGAGGTGTCCTACATGTAACATATGATATTTGATGATGTTCCTAGTATAAACACGAGAACAGGGCTATGTACTTGTTCTTGTAATTTTCCATACCTTGACCACTCCTAGGGAGAAACCCAGTGAAAAATGGGACTCCAAAATGAAGAATGTAGCCGTGGTCCTCAACGCTCTTCACTTGTGCTGTAAGAACCTGAGCGAACAAAATTTCTGAATTACAATCACATCATTTCGTGCAATTTTCTAGCTTATTTCAGACTTCCACTAAACCAAAATGTGGCTTATATATAGCCTCATAGCATTCGTTTCAAAAAGTTCTTAGTAACTTATATATCTATTTCCAGTTAATAACATTATGCACCTCATACTTAATACCTCAAAAATATATTTTTTCTTAAAGTTTCAAGTAAAAGTGCAAAGGTTATGTCCATAAGCAAATAAATGCAAGCCAGAACGTGTTTTTCTTAAAGTTTCAAGTAAAAGTGCAAAGGTTATGTCCATAAGCAAATAAATGCAAGCCAGAACGTGTAAACAGTTTGCATATGAATGGAAGGTTATGTCCATAAGCAAATAAATGCAAGCCAGAACGTGTAAACAGTTTGCATATGAATGGGGATAAGTTGTGTTGAACCACAGTGAGAAAAAGTAAACGATGAAGAACCAAGATGTCTTCAAGAATCTGATGTTGACATCAGTGGCAAATATAAGCATTATCAGCTAAAATATCCAAAGAAAATACAGGATAAAAAAACTTATGGCAAATCTTCATTCGTCCTCAATGCACAGCACCAGGAGTTACCAAATTCAGTGGAGGAGAAATTAATCTGGTCATATGTTATGTGTCAACGTTAACGTCACTACTAAGTTGGACTGGGCCGTTTCTGACCCTTAGGATTTAACCCATCCATAATTTTACTTAATGATCAGCAGTAAATAGTGAATTTGACTTCATAAAGAACTTTCTATCTCCCCTCTCATCTAGTAGAGCTAGTCTTTTTGTTATAGGGGAACTTGGAGTGTCGTCTTGAGGTTGCAAAAGATTAAATTGCATGTACTCAATAACTTAAATCACAGAATAATGTCCTAATTCATAGTCTTAACACCAATTACAAGAGATTTAATGACAATTTAACACTACCCTTCCGTATTTCCAGTAATTCATCAAAATGAAAATAATAAAAGAACTTTTTTCTATAAAATCATACATCTAGAATCACAAACATTATAAGAAGCAGAACATGTCCAGGCCTTGGTTTAACAATGCTCCAATAAAAAAACAAAGGGACATAATCAAGTTCAATATTATTAATAACAGCCGATATCGCAATACCTGGAACAATAGTTTGTGATTTCACAATCACTGTTTCAAATATAATGGATAGGGCTTCGGATTCTTCACCGTTTTCAATCCCAGCTTCTGTACTAATACCTCAGATATTAGATTCTTCTGACTTCCTGTATCTACAATAGCATCTACTAAACTGGTCTTGACCTGCAATTTCAGAATAAAGAGCTGCTCCCTCGGGTCGTCGTCTTCTTTAGTGGCTTGCTTCCCCGCCCTGCTATTGGGTTCAGTCATCCCGGGAACCTCCTTCGGACCCCGTGCTATCACGTACGCCTGCCTGCTCCCCCGCCATAAGGTTGAGACTGCTATTGGGTTCAGTCATCCCGGGAACCTCCTTCGGACCCCGTGCTATCACGTACGCCTTCTTCTTTAACCCTTTTAGTTTTAGATGAGGATACTTGTCCCAGCAACGATCAGCCACGTGCCATGTCTGCTTGCAGTGATTGCATGTCAATCCTGCCTTCCCCGAGTCACCCTTCTTCTTCTCATCCTTAGGTTGAGAGCCACCCTACTTACTTCCCAATGGTTTGGAGTCTCCCTTCGTCTCGTTGCCCTTCTTCTGTCTGCCCTCAATGGCAATGGCCTTCACGCTCGCCTCTACGATTGTCTCGACCGAAAAGAGCTTCATCTCCTTCTGGATGTAATCATTCAGACGTGTCATGTACTTCATGAAGATGGAGTACTCATCCGTTACGATGTTTAGAACCATCACCTGCTGCTAGAACTCCGTCGTGTACTCTTGAACAGTCTGATTATACTTTTGGCGCAAGCCATACCACTTGTATCAACGCTCCTCAAGGAACCCCACTAGATAGAACTGCTTCCGAAGTAGCTCCTTGAACTTATTCCATGACACCGCCTTCTTCTCCTGTTTGCAATAAGATTTCCACCACGTCAATGTGTGCCCCGAAAGCTTCAATGTCGCGAACACTATCTTCTCCCTGGATGAATATCCGTAGAGGGTAAAGTACATCTCCATATGCTTGATCCAATCATCGAGCTTCCCCACATTGATACTCCCATCATAAATAGGAATCTCAATCTTGAAGTCAATCTTCAAATTCTGGTAATTATTCTTACTCCCTTGATGTCCAGCGATCTTAACAATCTCGGTCTCCCCATCTAAATCAGATTCCTCGCGCTCTTCATCAGACTCAATGAGTTTCTTCTTACCCTTTGAAGAAGATTCTTCCTTTTTGTCCCCTATGTTGATGAGACCTACGAGTTGGGTGATAGTAGTCTCGATCGTCTCGATCTGCTTCTCCATGACATCAAGTCTTGTTGAATTATCTGCTTCAGTCATCTTCTCCTTCCTTAATTTCTAGACTTCTTCCAATGAAATAAGGATTTCGCCAAGCTTCTTGTACTGTGATCGAGTAAGGACCATACACAGGATGCCCCTTCACAGGATCTGAATTGCTATCTGATACCAACTTGATACGAGTTGCCGTGTGAGCACTCTTGATCGCAGAATTATCAAGAGTGGGTTGAGAAGAAAACGACAGAAGAACCAATATTGTAATTTGGGCGAAGGAAAATACCTTCTCTAGATTATGAGAATAATTTGGATTACAAATCTCTCACTCACAATCTCTCTAGATCAAAGAATAACCTCCCTGATCTCTTTTCTGATTACAATCTCAGTGATCAACCCTAGAAAAGTCGTGTTTCTATTTATACAAAATAGAAATCCTAAACAGTGCAGGAAAACCAACCCAGGCCCAAAAACCAACTCGCAGTCGACCGCAGAGCCATGAGCGGTCGACCGCGGTCAACACCCGAGACTTAAATAAGTTACAGGATGTGACCAATGACAGAGAGCAGTTTTGGTTACAGGGTTTTGGCGGTCGACCGCCAAAACCATCGCGATCGACCGTGAAAAAGTCCAAACAGATACCCTGAGCTGTGCACGTTCACGGTCGACCGCAGTGACACTTGCGGTCAACCGTGAAACAATAAAATTGTTTTTCCTGCAGTTTGATGAATCCTTCGACATCGCCGCTTCCAATGACTTTGTCCACGACTCCTCTACTCTATTCTCAAGATACCATGAGAATCATCTATCCTCAAACTCCCATGAGGATCGCTAAGCTCCTGAAGAGAAGATACACCCGTATCATTTAAACAAAAGGTTATAACCCATGAAATGGCGCCCGGGTCGAAACAAGACGAAACGGTTGAAAAATCGTGGGTTATAACCCATGAAATCGTGAAATTTGAACTCCGCCTAATTATTTGCCTTAGGGCCCAAACACAAGAGAAGGGTCAATAATCACGTGTTATAGCTCATGAAATCATTGGTTTTAAATTCAGAAAAGATATTTTAACACGAGACGTCGAACAAGTCAAAATGGTCAGAAATTATTTGGACAATAGCTCATGAAATCATCAGTTTTGACATTTCTGACACCTGGCCGAAATAGAAGAAAATGGTCAAAATTCATGGGTTATAACTCAAAAAATCATCGGTTTTGAATTCAATAAAGATTTCATGCGCTATGTCAAAACGGGCCAGAACTGACAAAATGTGTCAGAAATTATGGATTATAGCTCACAAAATCGTGAAATATGCACTCAACTTAATTGTCTGCACTGTGCCAAAAAAGGGCTAAATGGACAAATTTCGTGGGTTATAGCTCACGAAATCGTGAAATTTGACTCCACCATGTCATTTGTTATCGGACGAAGCCGTCGAAGTTGAGCATAAAACATTGCATATAGCTCACAAACTCGTGAAATTCGAACAATGGGTTAGAACCCATGAAGTGACGCACAGGTCAAAACGGACCAAAACGGTCGGAAAACCATGGGTTATAACCCATGAAATCACAAAATTTAAACTCCACCTAATTATTTGCCGTAGGGCCCAAACGCACGAGAAGGGTCATTAATCATGTGTTATAGCTCATAAAATCATCGGTTTTGAATTCGGAAAAGATATTTTAACACGGGGCATCGAACAAGCCAAAATGATCAGAAATTTTATGGATAATAGCTCATGAAATCGTTAGTTTTGACAATTCTGACACCTGGCTGAAACAGAAGAAAATGGTCAAAAATCATGGGTTACAGCTCGTGAAAACATCAGTTTTTAATTCGGCAAAGATTTCTAGCGCCTGGTCGAAACGGGCCGAAACTGATAAAAT